CAGTATCTACTAAAAGAGAAGTTAAGCAACATCTTTTTCTAACTGTTCAATGGAGGCAAACATAATTCCACTTTCATAATACTGAAATATACTGAATCCTTAGTGTTGGATAAAAAGCTTCGATGAAGTGTAACACTACACAACTTCAGAGGCTTTCTTGGTTTTGCATTGATGGGCAGTCTACTCTTCACCCATCACACCTGAGCACACTGAAACTTGCCTCAAGCAACAGCACTAGAAAAAGATCTTTGGTTATTGCTTACTGGTTTGGATTTTTGAAATGGCTACACAACTATAAATTATGTTCTGCTGCCAGGTGTTAAAAGTGACCACCAAAAATCACCTTGTTCCAAAGAGCACTATTTTCTAAACTTCCCACAGAAAGTAGATCCTTGCACTAGACTGGCATAGAATAGCTCTATGCAAAAAAGCGATCAGAGTTTTTAACGCAGAGATTCATGACTGCCAGAATCTAACTAATCCGAATCTAATCCTAAATAAAGCAGTACACTTTTCATCACAAAATATTTCAATCACTAGCCTATACTGTGCTAAAAATGGGAGTTTTTAAACACTGCAGATCATTTCCATTTATTTCCATAATTTGGTACCTGAGCTTTATTTCAAGACAGACTTTAGACAGTTCAATGATGAATCACTATTTTTGTCATAACTGGTCTGTAATTAAATTAAAACATTCCACACAACTTGTTTCACACAGAAGTTGTTCACCTACTACACTAAGGTTCTGTAGTTTCTACTTTTTTGTAGGAAAAAAAGGTTGAAAGTTTTAAATATGTAATTGGAACCTTGGATATAAGGATTAGGTATTCTTTTACAGATTACATTTATCTTTTCTGCAATAAGAATATTAACATTTTTTTCTGAATAACTGACATTATAATATTAAAATAATTTCTATCCATTGTTTATTTCTACTTTAAACATTATCAACAAATAACATAGGAAAATGTGATTCTTTTCCTGAATGCATTTATTTCTATTTTCAATATTTTACATATTAATTTTCCCTACCTGTCCCGTTTCATAATGCCTTGCAAACTGGTTAACCACTCGATAGTCATTTGCAAAGTACTCCATCAGAATTGAGGGAACTTCAGCAAAATCAGTAGGACATCTGGTTCCTAGAAGTAGAATAATTGTAGGCATTAGCATTTACTATTTCCATTAACAAAAATCGCTAACTCTTCCCAAAAGGTTTTGCAACTTTCAGTTTGGACTTTTGGTGAACTTTAATGTTCATTCATTTATTAAGTCAATATTTTATTTCCATAGCATTATTGTACATATTGCCAGAAAAGCTTCATTATAATCCTACACATTTTACTATAAATCACAAAGTAAAACAAAATATTTGAACAGCTGGGTGAGGCACCTTATAAAGCTCTGGATCACACCCTTTTTAAACTAAACCAGACTGCAGCCAAACTGGCCCTACATGAAACACCAAATCTATTTAAGTGTCCTAAGCCTAAATCAAACTATAATGTAAACAAAATTCTGCCTTAATCCCATTCACAGTCACAATTTTTAGCTTCCATCTATTTGCTGAGCTTACTTATGCTTTATATTAACCTCGCTTTTTAATACCAAGTCATTCGGCCAAGGAACACTCTTGCAGACTGAAGACATGTTCTAAGTAAGTGCAATGAGGTAATATCTTAGCAGTCAGTATTTTCAAAAAGCACTTTCCCCAAAGCCTTATTTACTCTAATCTTTATCAGCACCTTACACAATGGAAGTTATTAAGAAACGTAACACATCATCAAATCAAAGCTGCACTTCTGATTTCTATATTAAAGTTAGGGATGCACAAAGTTATTGCTTTAATAGCTGACCCATTGGGTCATAACCTCTATCCCTGTCTGCTAGAGACAATGTCAACGTTCAAAACTAGTCTTAAATGGTAAGTACAGTTTTGTTTCTATTCTTTCTTGAAGATTATTCTTTAAAATCACTTCTTTGATCTTTACAAATCTTTCTATAATTTTTAATCTGAATTCATAATCTGTGTATACTCAACGTTTTCAGACCAATACTGCTCTTTAGTGTAAACAGCATTTCCCACACTGTTTTTTACCTCCTAAATTGAGGGAAACCGTATTCTGAGCCATCATTATCCAAAGGCAATACGAAGTCTGAAAGACTGTCAGTTGTAGCTCTTCTCTGCACCTACTTCAGTTTGAATTCACCCTCAGATCAGACACACAAAACCATGCCTAAGCATTGCATGAGGTTTCACTAGTATCTTTCTTCATCATTCTAATACTTATTGCTGTTAGGTACACCTCTGAGGTAATTTCAAATCACATTCACCCCTTTCACGGACACATTAGCTATTTGTAGCTCTGCATTAACACATAAAATGTCCATTTGATAGCATAAATTCTCTTTGTACTCTTTAAATGCATGATCTGCACTGCAAAGTTCTGAACTGCATTTTACTTCAAACACCGCAGTATCCAGTCATTCAGTTCTTATACAATACCTCAATCCTTCTTTTGTGCCATCACATTTCTATACTAGAGTCTTTTTTTGTTGATGTTTGAAAATCATTTTGAAAAAGCCTAAAACAAGGCAGGTCAAGACAAATGCCGGCAGAACTACACTGCTGTTCCCCTAGCCATTGATGCTTTCTCAGTGCTCCTTAATAAAGTGACATCATTCTTTTAATAACCATTAAAGTCACTCCTGAAAAATTACTTTATCTGAAAGTTAGAAAGGTAAAAGGTTAGGTAGTTATCTGGGATAAGTTAGTCCTCCTGTAAAACAAACGTAGGTATTCTCTATTGTATGATAAACCAAAATGGATCACAAGCTAGGTTTTACAAAACGGTAAAACGTAAAAAAGTGTAGTGGGAGGTGTCCCTGCCCATGGCATGGGGGGTGTAACGAGATGATCTTTAAGGTCGCTTCCAACCAAACCATTCTACGGTTCTATGAAAAAGGTCCTTCAGGCAAGGGAGCTACAATTCAATCTGTTTGGTTTTCTTTCTTTTTTTAATAATTAAATGTCCACCGCCAATGGGATTTCCAGCACACTATTATAGAAGAGGATATACCAAGCTGTCCGCAGGCAAGAAAAGCAGCACGCCAAGCAGCTTTAGCCAGAACTTGGCTTTGAACCATTTGCCACAACTGCAGAAGGTCACAGCAGCCTGCGAGCCGTCAGCCAGCGCACTCATTGCCACCACTTGAGAAGAGGGACTAAATGAAAATAGGCAGTGTTCCTTTTCTGTGCATCTACTAAGCTGTGACTGCATATTCATTCCTGTTCATTTACGTATGATAAAAGGGCCTACCAGTTAATCATCCTTGCAAATACAATACATTTTTAATTTATCTACTTTGCTTTAATCAGAATGAACTAGAAAAGGCCTGGCTTTACAGATTTTCCATATTGCCACTGTATGCTCTTTGCAAGAACTAATGTACTAATTTTCCTTAATTCAATTTCCTAAATAATTTCCAATCCAAGATTCATTGTGCTTTCACACTAGGGACAAGTTTAGCTCAATCTGTTTTCAATCCTCCAACTATTCCATTATTATAAACTCCACATAAGGCAAACTTGGAAGAGTGGATATCACCACCAGAACAAAGATTAGCAGCACGGAAAGAAGAGATGCAAACGCCTAATTCTTACTACGAGAAGAAGAATGTTCAAGGGTTGTTTGGGTGGGTTTTAGATAATATCTGGGGATCTGATATTGTATTTTCAAGTCATCAAGGACATAGAAGTATCAACATGACTCAACCATTTCTGGTTCATCCTTTTTTTTTTTTAAAAAATCTACTCCCTTCTTCTAGATATTAAGCATTTAACCAAAACAAAAAAAATCACTATGCTAACTTTCTTACCAGTGACATGTTGGTACCGAGTTCTTCCCAGCATAGAATGCATAGCATGTCCCATTTCATGGAAGAGATTCTCCATCATGCCAGGACTTAGTAGGGTTGGTGCACCCCTTGTTGAATGGGGCAGGCTAAGCATAAGAACAACTACAGGCAGCTGGTACTCTCCATTTTCCCTTAGCCTGCCTCCACGAACTGTAAAGTGACAATCCTTTTCAAGATAAAAGCAAACATATGGACAGCCAATGCTATTATATCAATTATTAAAACAATGATGAAATTATTAAACTATTAAATCAAACCTAAACATCTACTCAGTTACACAATTTGAATTCAATGATCGTTAACAGTGGTGTTCAATAGCAGCATGCTGTTTCTCCATCCTTATTATTTGCTTCATTCATAAGGAAACTACCTTATTCCATAAAGAAGACTGTGCTGCTTTCAGAAAAAAAAATTAAATTTGTTTTGGAAATATTAAAACCTCTGAATTTTTCTAAAAAATATCACTAGCTCAAAGAAATTTACTGACGTGCCAAATCCATAAATTATAAAGTATCTCCTCATTCTTCAACAATAGCTTCTTTACAAAATCTACTGCACAGCACTCCTAGTATATTGTGAAATATTAGCAAAACAGAGCAGTATATTAAACTAATGTAGATTTAAAGTTTGTCCACTTACCACCTCACTAAAGGTGGTAATTTGCAGATGTTTCCACAGAGTGAAGTGTCTGTTGTACTGCATCATACAGTCAATATACTGGCACTAGGCAGCATGAGTGAGTGAGCCAGTCACAACAGTTGGAACCATCTACAGTTTTGAGTAGAATTTTGAATAAAAATTAGTTGTCATTATGAGCTTTTACCTTCAGAGAATATTAAAATTTCAGACTGTTTTTACTTGTAAATAGTAGGCCAGAAAATAGGTGTTCAAAAATCTACTATTTCTCTAAATAGAGTTCTATGACATCTCATAGTCCTGTGATTCTGTAGAACAAAGAGTCTGAGTTCAGCCTAGCAGGTGACGTTTTTTAAAGGAAAGGTTACTCACAAAAGTATTTTACCTAAAACCACATTTGAAGTTACAGACTTTCCCTGTTTAAATTTCATTTATTTTAAATCAAGGTAACTTCTACTAAACTTACATTGAAGGCAAATGGCTCTAATGCTACAGTTGTTACTCAAATAAAACCCATGCTGGAATGAGATCATAAATGTTACCTGATGTGGTTTATCAGGTCGCTGAAAGAAGTCACAATAGATGTATCCCAGCAAACCTTCAGTTTCATGAACAACAGCCTGAAGAAAAAAAAGTATCATCTCCACAGTGATAAGATGTATAAACTGAAGATACAGTATTTTAATCTAAAGATCTATAACAAACAAATGACAAACAAACTAGGAATAATTAACATAAAGCCTGGGTAATTTTAGTTAGAAAAAAATATATACAAGATTCACAACTTGTCCCTCAAACTACAGCTATTTCTGCATCTCACTCAAAACTAATTAGTCACAGACTAGTATTGAAAGTAACACTGTCTGTAGCCCCTAAATGACTTCCGAGAAGTCAACAGTAACAGAGGCTGATTTATCATGGAAATAAAAAGAGAAAGAGTAAGGAGTAATTATAAATTGACCCACAGGATATAAAGAACAGCAACTCTTGCTGGTGGTAGAAGATCAGTGAAGAGCCAGTGAATACATGGAGGGAAGATAACAGAGAAACCTGATGAGTAAATCATTGCCCAAGTTTTTATTTCCACCCTCCCCTAAAAAGAGGGCAGAAAAATAAAGACGTAAAAACCAGTCTCAAAGTAAAGATGACATACCGAATAAAAAAAAAATGAGGCAGACACATGGCTGCTAGAATATGCACCTACAGTCGTCTACAGTCATCTACAAAATGAAACTGAAAAAACTAGCAGGGCTCATGCAGAAGGACAGCTTGAAAGGTATAGCAATAATCTCCAAACAGAGAAACTGCTTCTGATTCAGGCACCCTTCACACAGAGACATATTATAAAGGCCATTAAATACCAAGCATACAAAAGGCACTTGGAGTATAAAGCCCTTGAGGTCTAACTTCAACCAAAATTAGACAACTGGTCTGTGCTTTTGACAGGTACCCAAGTAATTTAAAAACAAAATCTGATTCATGGGTCAGAGGAACACACCATCTTGTCCAACTTCCCTTTGTCATTTCAGATGCTGGGACCACAAATACTTACCAATTTTCGAACATCTTCAGACCAAACCTCTCCTCTCTGTGTCTGTTCAGCATAAAGGGAGATTCCTAGGAGCCGACTGAACAGTGAGTTCAAACCTTCCATGCATGCCCCAAGAGAGAAAAACGGACAGTACAAGCCAGGGTCAATGTTGTACCTAAGGAAATAAAAGAAGCCCAAACCAGTCAGTTAGTCGAGCTACATAAACTACAGTCTTCGCCTCCAAGTCACAGGACATGACAGAATAGAACAGATAAGCCTCAAGGCCCTTATGTTTGGTTTTAGTTTTCAAATAGTGAAACTAAGTCACAGACTAGTTATGGCACAGTGCTTCACAGTAACTCAATTTTTCTAATATTCAAATCTGGATACCAAAGTCAGCAGGTGTTGACTGCGATGTTCAGAGACGTGGTGAAGATGCAGCTCAGACCAACCACGGCAACACCGTGGGTGGCCAGGCCGTGGCTTTTGATGCACAAGAGGCCACAAGCACTTGCCGTTCCCACGGCAAGGCTGCGCCATGCCACGGATCAGGAAAGGGAGCTGGTGCTGGAGTCAGCCAAATCCTCGGCTGGGGCGGGAAACCAACCGGCGAGCACTGCTGACTCTGCAGGCTTGTCTTCCCCTGAAGCAACAGAAACACCAATCGCCTCCCACGTGTGAATCACACCTCAAGCTCCGGGGACTCTCTGAGCCACACAGAAAGTATCTTACAGCTTTGAGCCACCTGAAGATTTTGGTAGGTGACGTGGATTTCAAACATGGCTGAGCATCCCGAGCCTAACATCAAACTGTGTGTTCAAGACGCTGCGGCACAGAAGACACATGTGGGGAGGAAGACACCATGCATCTGCATGCGCACGCATAAACTGAGAAATGAACAAAAAGCAATTATAAAAGTAGTCCAGAGGTGTACTCGGGCTCAAACTTCCTGAGAGTCTGACCCTAAAAAGTAAACTACAAGTGTATCAATCAAACAAATGCTTTGCAAACTTAAACCTTCCACAAGCTGCTCAGGGCCACACAACTCTTGGAGATGACAGAAAAATCAGAACTGGAATCTGCCTGTAGTTGTGTGTGCACCCCAAATGGCAAAAACGCTTTTGCTCCCTCATTTCACATACAAAGTCCAAGAGTTAAGTTACTTATACCATTTTCTGGGATCTCAGAGTAAAGACTGTTTAACGCTAGAGAATCACAGTCCCTCCCTTCTATCTTCTTTCCTTTTCCATGCTCTTGTGCTTTTTCTTCTTAATGAAATGGTAACTAGACACTGAAATTTAAACATGTGTCAGCTAGACTACAATAGCTGAACACCAAAGACGAGAACCATGCTGTCTTAAGGCCTATGACCAAAAGGCTTAGTTCGAGACCAGCTGTGAAAGAGTCAGCTAGTCCCTACCCACTTACCTACCCATCCTTCCTTCCCACTCCCACGCACAAAAGACAAGACCTAAACCCGAAGTCACTGGGCATACTGCACTCGCCAAGATGCTGCTAACAACTGCAGCTGCAATTCTCTACCCAGCTGCACGGCGCTGTGATGTGCAGCGCGGTGGGGTTACTTCCCTAAGGCAAGGCACTCATTCTTGAATATGTCACTGTATTTTGTTTTAATTTTCTAGTATCCTTTGTATTACCTTTATCACATACTCCAGCAACATTTTGCAACTACCGTAGCAACATCTGACAAAAATACAGGTATGCTCAGTTACAGGGTTTTGCTTATTTTCACACTACAAACACAAGAAGCTAAAGCCCCTGTACTCCATTATATTTTTATTTATACTAGAACACAGAAAATAAAGCAGATTTTGCCTTGACCATACTGACGCAACTTCTTCAAGATGCCTAGCAACACTTCAATTCACACTCTGCATGCTGCAATACACACATTTTCCTGCTTACTCAAAGAGAGTCTTTATACCAAAAGAACAAAAACAAGCACGATGTAAATCACTTTTGATCAAGTTAGATAAAAAGACTGGAAGCAAGTCTCTAAAAGAAAGCATAAGAGATGAGTTAATTTCCATGTAATAAGTCATAGAAATTTGGAGTACATAGGATGCTGCTTTACACCCGGAGCCCCCCTGAAATACAGAATTGCAGTGTATGTGTTCAATCTCCTGAGATTTTTAAGTCAGTAATTCCTAAGAACCACAGCTTCTTTAACAGTGGCACTTTTTGGAAAGCTGTAGTAGGTAAATCTCAGATATCTCCAGACTTTTATAATATCACCCTGTGATCACCTTCTGCTCAGATTGTTTCTGTGAAAACTTAAACGCACCACTAAGTGCTTCAGTCCTCCTGATTCTGTTCTGAAGCCTTCCCTGCACACAGACTACAAGACTTGTTAAAATGATCCTTTTAATAAAAGAAAAAATAACACCTTTTAGCAGCAAGTCTATGATATATATACTCATGCATACATAGATGCAAATACATGTATATATACATATATATATGGGGACATGGTTTAGTAGTGGACTTGGCCATGCTAGGTTTACGGTTGGACTCGATGATCTTAAAGGTCCTTTCCAACCTGAATGATTCTATGATTCTATAACAACCTCCGTAATAATTTAGGACTGTTTTTTATACATCACTTTAAAATCTTGTACCATCATCCTACATACTACTACGAATACTGAGCTGGATTTCCCATTTGCAATTCAAATAATTCCTTCTTTAACTAACGACTAACCATAAATGAAAAGTTCATTATAAAAGTATTGTCTCAATAGAAGTTTACTATAATGTGAAGCAGGATTTCTCCACATCCACCCCTCCAAGCTGGGAAACATGATTATCCATATTTTTAAAATGACATTTATTTCAAAATAAATTAAAGATCAAATAGTAGGTAATGATACTCCTTTTGTATAGCTAAAAAATTTACATGGAAAAAAAGACAAAGTCAGACATCGCTTTTAGTCCTAATTTAGCCTTGAGCTGAGTAGCAACTTAGAGCTAGATCTCCTCAGAGCCAATTCAGATGAGCAGCATTTATTAGTTCTGGCTCTGCCCCAATCCTGCTCATCCCACACTGGTTTCTGCAGAGCCACTCAGATTTACTGTACCTTGGTTTAGGTTCCAGAAAGGTTTATTAATGCAGGTGCAGCACAAGGCCCACCTAAAACACTGCCTCAGAACGAGGGGAGTAAGACAGACACGCTCAAGCGGTTTCATACGCAGGTTACGTGAGGGCTCTCTGCAGGGCTTTTTGCAGAGCTCATTCCAATCAGCCCTGCCAAAGCTATGCCGACCACGTGCAAAGCCCATCTCGTACCTTCAGATCCGCCTCCCCCAGACACCCAGCATCAGCCAGGGTTGCCCTGCCATTTCTTCCCTGTCAACTTGGAGGACAGAGCTGACTGTACGAGGTATTCCGAGAAAGCACTCATATGATACAATGCTACAAACACACACTTCAGTAAATCGGAATTTAACTCTGCCAACAGATCACAGTCATAGCAAACCATCAGAGTTTCACAGTTGCAGGAAATTAAAACATGTAACTGCTACCAGTGAGTTCAGCTGCAGGAAAAGAGAAGATGAAAATGGTAAGAAAGTCAACAACAGCACCCTTGAAAACACTTCCAGAAATTAAGTCGCATTTACACAGGAAGCAAGAAAAAAAAAAATCAGCTGTCACTATCCAAAGTGGGAGAAAGAAAAAAAAGAATCAGTCTATAATAGTTTTATCTTTTGGAAAAGCACAATACTTATCCACCCACACGTGAAAACAGCAGTAACAGACTCTACTGGCTTAAGGCAGACTCCCCAGGGGAACTAGTCCCCTACCCCTGCTAATGTCTGAAGATGTCACAATCTTGACATTTTGAGTACAATGAGGTTCTGATTAAACAACCACTTTAATAATAACTCCACAAAGTTACTGTCAGTCACTTCTGGTAGAATATTGTCAAGATCAACCCTCTCCCACATTTAATGAAAGATGTGTGTTAATATTCCTCTTGGTAATGGAAAATTGCAAAAAAGTTTAGAAAAACAACATTTTTTAATACAAAACATCCCCCAAAAAGTTTCTAGTTCTGATCTCGCTTATTCCTCCATTTCTGCCTTGCCTACTACACCAGTGTACAAACAAAGATCAAAGATGAAGATACTGAAAAATCCTCAAATAGCACTAGTGTCTTACGACACAAGACTGCTATTTAAATTACTATTGGGCAACCCTGACAGCAGTCAGTGGTGATTACTATACCTGAAGTTATCTGGCACCTATAGTTCGCTTGTTTGCCAACTACTGCAATGTCATAGGAGTTATGAAGAAAGTGGTTAAAATATGATAATATAAAGCAATTTTCACAATCAGATGGTTGTGAAACGAGTATCGGGTACTGAAAAAAAGCTACTGCTCCAGGAAGTGAACAGTACATCTTCAAAAACCTTTCTCTAATACCAGTTCATACCCACTAAGCAGAAATCATTCCAGACACCAAAACACAGATTTAATTCACAAGTTGTGAATGTGGTCCTACCTCATACATGAGCCCTCTCTTCACAAATCAAGTAAGACCAACTATCATTGAAGAAAGCCTAACCCCAAACTTGCTCTGATTCCAGGAAAACTTTCTCTTTGGGCTTATTTAGGAACAGAAATTAGCCAAAACCTCAGCTATCTGAAGCTGATGTCTTATAACCCAAAACTCAGTTCCTGGAATTATTGTTAACAGACGATCTTGCCTTTCAGTGGCAAAAGCAAGCATACGACTGACTCTTTTCTGAGCCCGCTCCTTCAAGATTTAGTGCTACTCACTGCAGAATGAAAGGTGTAACACTGGATAAGATTAGAGGACAATGGGGAAAAGGGAATAAATTAATTTAAAAGAGTTAAAGCTTTCCCCCAAAAAGAGTACTCAACGAGCAGAACAGGAAATCCTACAATCTCTACTAGATCTGTAAAACTGAAGTCTAGCTGGAGGGTGTGGGTAGTAAAGTATTTGGAAGAGTTTACAGACAAACTACACTCTCCCTTAGTGAAGACTCTTGTTTGATTCCAGGCACTCAAACGGTAGCAGCTGTTGGCAACTTCATTGTTTCCAGATGACAGAAAAAAAAGCATCCATTTGCTAACAAACGATTACCCAACCTCAGTTATTCACAGCTTCATCACCTTACTGAAACTGCAAG